ATGCGTTCTATGTGGCCTGGAATAGATGATAATTCTGGTGGTTCTACTTCTATAATATACAGCATGCGTAAGCGTGCCATACAAGCTTCAAGATTCATGCTACAGATGATGCAGACTCCCCTTTATGCAAAGGGGACTGAAGCAGAGGATGATAATGGTTGTAAGGGATCACCAGAAATCATAGATGGCTCGGCAAAGCCTTCAGTTGATATGGGGAAGAGGGGCTTTCAATACGCATAGCAACAGAGGTAATTCTTTGCGACTGTTAATTTATTCTGCAGTTATATAGTACCTGATGAACACTCGGACAAAATGTCTTCACTCAATCCTAATATGAAAATTTCAATTGCTTAAACTCAATTCTTCAGTTTTTTCCAATTCAAATCTTGATTCACGATATAAATAATCAGAATCTGACTTCAACGTCTTATAAAACCTACACCCACCCACTAATTCACACACAGACTTGTTTAGAAATTTCACTTCATAGAAAATCTCATATTCTAATGATTTATGTTTCTCCATGGATGCACAAAAAAGTGTTACGTTGCTGCATTGAAAGCCAGGAATTGCTGTTTACGAGGAATGCCTAATCTATGAACAAAACAACTTGCTACTTGCGAATTTGTTATTGTTATATTTTTCCGAAGGTGTTGAGGTTCCAAGCAAAGAAGACATCTGCAGAGAAGTCATATATGTTGCTGCTCTTTGCAGAATACTTGACTCTCTCCATTTCAGCTCATCAGAGCAAGGGCCAGTAAAGATTATGAGGAGGCTTTTGAGTAGTGTGTGTGAATGTGTTCTAGGTGAGAAATATCTTTTAAAGGAGTTGAAGCTGATGGCTGAACGTCTTAAGGACTAGATATAAATCCAGATCACGATTTGTTGGAAGACGAAGCTAAGTATATTTTCGGTGAGTAATAAATATATTCATGTCAAGTGGAAATTTTAGAGTATATTATACAAAATCTGCTTCATCACATGAAGAATGCTTTTCTGGAAACAAATTACAAAAAATGCTCAGAGCATTTATTACCTCTGTTTAATTCTCGTGTTTCGGATGATAAATATAAAATCTCATACCAACTTATTTCATGCGATATTTTTTTGTTTCTCGTTTTCTTTTGGTTCTTACTATTTATTGGGTTTGTTTTTGGTCATTAATACCAAACTATATTGTCTCCCAATATTTTGCAGGAAAGTTAGACCTGGATTTCAACATGGATTTTGATGGTTCCACTGCAGTTCCGCAAACGCCAGCCCCATGCTCAACTCGGTCGAATTGTTTGAGGAGACGAGTGAGACGTGAAGAAGTTAGTTCTGATGAAGAAAGCTCGCCTGAGTATGCTAAGTCTGTGGCTCCTACCAATCCTGGCACTATAGGCCCTCGCTCACAAAGAGCAAGCAAGACTGCAGCATTGACCAAGATAACCTCAAGTAGAGCTGTAAGGATACAAGAAGGTTTTGACGAAGAAAATGATGAAGACTCGGATGTTACATCTGATGATTCTCACGAATCAGATTCGTTAACCGAATAAAATCAAGGCGGTTAATTATCATTGCCTGAGCCATTGTCCTTTATCTGTTGCTGCATACGATCATGTTTACTTCTAAATATCAAAATAGATCTCAGGGTCTTATATAGATAGATATGCAGTACTTTTGCTATATTTGTTGTATCAATATGCATGATGTTTGTGCCTCATAGGTCATTACAGACATGGTATTGTTGTTGTATGCATTTGGGGTTAAGGTTTGTTCGATTTGTTGTAACACAATTCGGGAAATGTTTGTTAATCAGAGCATATTTTCCATGCTTTTTTAGGATGCTTCAGACAAAAAGAGAGTATAAAATGCATTGTGAATTTGTGATGTGTCATCTGCAGATAAGAAGTTGAACTTGAGTTGGTTTATTTGAAATTTGAAGTTTACTCGAGTTTAATAAAAAGTTTTATATGTAAGCCATATAAATAGTTACTAAAGTATGAGTAAGTTCTATTTTTAGCACTAAAATTTTAAAAGTAAGGAAATTGTCAATAATACTACTGTTTTGTAATAAATTAGTTATTTAGTCGTTAACAGTCATTGTTGAGGTTACAGAAGTCAAACGCGGAATGTTTGGCCAACCACATTGACTTCCACTTAAGAACCGTAAATCTCGACCATTCTTCCTCTACTCGTCACTGACTAGTTTCACCAAAGTTTGGCTTAGCTGTGCCCTCCATGAGACGAAGGATTGAGTTGAACTGTTTGCGCACTTCCTCAACCATCTTCTGAGTTGCACTTTCCACTCATTTCGTGGTCATAGCTAGGGGTGTTTATTGCGTTGAGCAACTCGAATTCAACTCGGTCAAAATTCTCGACTCGAACTCGACTCGAAACCTTAACGAGCTGAGTCGAACAAAGTTCAACTCGACTTGATAAGTTCACAATCAACTCGTTAATTTTTTTAATAACTTTTTAGTAGTTATATTAAAAAATTATTTCATTAACAAAATTACTAATTTACTAATAGATAATATACAATATGATAAATTACTAATATATTAATTTTCTAATAAATAATTAAAAATACTAAAATTTTAATTAATAATTATTATTTAACTACACCCAAAAATCAAACTCTAATTATCATTTTAATTTATTTATGGATTGTTATTTTGGTGTTTAAACTTTAATTTTATTTCATAACTCTTTTAATATTTTTTGGTTAAATTTATTAATTTATGTTTATATTAAATGCTATATAATATTAATAGATTTTATTTTAGGGGTCAATACATCCATCGTTGTGATGGCAGCACGTCTCAGAAGACACCAAAGAGAGTTGGTGAACCGATGGCAAAACCCTGAAAGAAATGCATCATGTTCTTCCCAACTGCCTCTAAATCCAATAATGTAACTCCTCAAAATATTATGTAGAATTTGTACTAATAAGTTGGACTGGCCATCGTTCTACAAATGAAAAGTCGTACCGAAATCAAATCTGTTTTGTACAATTTCTTCCATGATTAGAAATATTCAACACTGACACATTAGGTAATCCCACAATCTTAATAATGTATAGTTTAACTAGTTTCTGTAAAGGATAATCTGTACGAAATGATAGGAAATGAGCCGACTTAATCACATCATCCAATGCATTTTTCTTTTGAAAGAAACCCATTGCATTAACCCTTCAAAGCATTCAAAACCACAAAGTTTGTAATACAAGAAGGAAGATCTAAAACAAACCGAACAGGAGTTGTGCAACTAAATGCCCATTGAGTTTGTAGGTTCCATACATGTCGTTTATTTGTAGTTAAAATAATATTGGTGTGTTGAGTTTGTATTTTTTTATACTCTTAATCATTTAACCGTGAATATTCGATCACCCTATTACAGTTGTTAGTGTTTGAATCCGTGATTTTTAGAAATAACAACAATTCTTTTAACCACTAAGATAAATTAGTTTGTGATACATACTTTTTTTTTATAATAACTTTATTAAAATAATTGTATTTTTTTACAAATAAAGTTTTAATATAAATATAAAAATTAGTATATGTCCAAATATTGATTGTTTTTCTATTTTCTCTCTCTCTCTCTCTCTCTATATATATATATATACCAATCGGAAGACGAGCCAAAGCAATGGATGCCCCTCCAAAGTCGAGCACTCTTTCACCCAATTTCTGATTCTTTTTAATTCTTTTATCGACAAATCTCCTCACTTTGTTCCTATCTTCCTCTCTTTACCCTTCTTGTTCAGTCCGGTCCCTCACTTCCACCGCCGCAGCCACTACCACCGCTGACCGAGTCGGATTTTCCGGCCAGCTTACTTCACAATCCGACGATCGATTACTTACCTTCGTTTCTCAACAGTCACTCCCTTTAGGATTCAACGCAAATTTCGGCTCCAACATAATCTATTCTCCCGTGGGAAGCGCATGCTCTCTCTTCCCAGATGAACTCCGAAGTTACATGTCTTACAACGTTAATGGTTCATGTCCCGACGATGAGCTCCTTGCCCAGAAACTTCTCCTCAAGGACTGCGAGCCACTGCCACGCCGCCGTTTCCGACCCGCTGCTCCGCTTCGATACCCCGAACCCCATCCGCTACCACTCAGCCTATGGACAACGCCACCCGATTCATCAGTCGTGTGGACAGCTTATTCTTGAAAGAACTACACTTGTTTGATCAACCGAAAGAAGAACCAAAAGGGCTTCGACGATTGCAAAGATTGCTTTGATCTGAAAGGTCGCGAGAGAACTCGTTGGACGACACCCGACGGCGAACTTAATTGATCCATCGACAAAGTGCTGACGACGGGAAAACCGGGTACGATCCGAATAGGTCTCGATATCGGCGGCGGGGTGGTGACTTTCTCCGTGAAATTAAACGGTCCGTTCAATAGTTTCATTGCTTCAAGAGGGGTTGTCCCTTTGTACATGAGCATATCGCAGAGACTGCCGTTTTTCGATAACACGTTGGATATAGTTCACTCGATGCATGTTCTGAGCAACTGGGTTCCGACAACGGAGCTCCATTTCTTGATGTTTGATGTTTACAGGGTGTTAAGGCCGGGAGGTTTGTTTTGGTTGGATCATTTCTTTTGTGCCGGCGAGCAGTTGGAGTAGGTGTACGCGCCGCTTATTCGGAGCGTCGGATTGAATGAGTTGAAGTGGGTGGTCGGAAAGCTCGATAGGGGAGCGGAGCTTAGGCTGTCGGCTTTGCTGGAAAAGCCGTTGAACAACTCTTGGTGATTTATTTATGGACATTTGTCCAAAGTATGGTGTTGAGGAGTAGGGCTGGACCACTGCCTCGGAAACTTTTAATCCCAACTTCATTCCGATATGTTGGAATGGCTCATTTTTACTACTTTAAAATTAATAAATTGTAAAAAGGATAAATTACAAATTTGGTAACTAAACTTTACTTTCTCTTCTATTTCACTAATTATACTAATTAATAAATTGTAAAAAGGATAAATTATACTGATAAGAACAACACTGTCCTGGGCTCATGGCAAGAGCTTACAGAGTATAAATCCAAAATTCTCATAGAAATCACATATTACCAGGTAAAGTCATCCTGCTGCAGGAAAAAAAAGCAATATTAAAATGTGCATTACTTGTTTTTGTGGTTACATGAACAGGCTGTGTTAGCCTTCTATCGGCAGCTCTCCACAATTAACAATTCTGCATGGAAACTTTGGGCTATCTGACCTGCTCGTCTCTTGGGATTCCAGTTTGCGCACAACATCCATTCCATCAATAACATGCCCAAAAACGACATGTCGATTATCTAGCCATGGAGTCTGTAAAACACAGACACAATGAGCCTGGGGGGGGGGGCAAAAAGTGAACGAAAAACTTAAACCAGATAAAAATTTTGGGGCAACTGAAAATTCAAGCTTTGCAACTGATTCAGCAGCATGATCAATTAGGTAAGTATCAGCAGAGCTGAGCAGTAATCAGCTATAAGTGAGTATACACAAAGAAACATCTATCTTCTAGTGAACATTTACACATTCTTGATTCCCAAAGACCATCATAAAACATACTTCCAAAAAATAATGGTAAAAATGAAGGAATCAAGGCAGCAGAAGTTAGCTCACCTTTACTGTGCAAATGAAGAATTGGCTCCCATTGGTATTAGGACCTGCATTAGCCATGCTTAATACTCCAGGTCCAACATGCTTCACTGCAGATAAAAAGCTCAAAATATCATAACCAGGATAACAATTCATTAAGGAATATAGATTAGCATAACAACACGGAATGAAGCTCCCAAAATTTGAGCTTAGCATGCTCATTCTACAACTTACAGGCAAAGCTCTCATCTTTGAACATGGATCCGTAAATACTCTTTCCACCAGTTCCCTGCAACCAGCAAAAGCACCAGTTTTCTACTGATCAACGGGAAGTTCCTCTTACAAAAAGATAGCAATACATCTTCAGAAAGCCAAAAGATAAATAAAGAGAGGGCTTACATCGGTTTATCGCCACTAACGATTTAAAGACAGAGTGACAAAAAACCCAATGTATTAAGTTTAGTGAGGAAATTAAAAAAATTTAAAGTTCAAGGAGAAAAATAGGAGAGAGGGTAAAATTTTGTGATGAAATTTGTAATTTACCCTTGTAAAAAAATACTTTTACATTAACACTTTTTTTATTAGTTTGCATTAACACTTTTTTTATTAGTTTGCATAAATTACAAGAGATTATTTATTCGAAATATTCTTAACTATTTAAGAATGAATGTTTAAATATTTATGTAAATAACATACTAAAACCTGAAATCTTTAGATATAATTATCCCTCCAACGACTTGAGTTGTTTGGGTCGTACAGTTTTACATTAACATTTAATTGTTGAAAAAATGAATGAATTTCATTGATTGATTTAATAATTAAATTAAATTCATATACCTTTTGAATATTTCAAACTAAAAGATATTTATCTCTTTAAATTGAATATCAGTAGGATAATTATTATTTTGAAATATTTCAAATTAAAAGGTATTTATTATCTATTTAACTTTGAATATTAAAAGACAATTATATTCTTTTGATTATTTCAAATTAAAACAATATCTATTTAAGTTTGGATGTTAAAAGGTCTATATTATTTGAATATTTGAAATTAAAATATATCATTATCTATTTAAATTAAAATATTAAAAGATATCTATTTTGAGTAAATATCTTTTGAAAATCCCCTATAAATCTTGAGCTAATCTATTAGGTTAAACACATCTAAGAATTCAAGAACATCAAATAACTTAAATTTCTTTCTCTTTATCTAGTTTTCCGACGATAGACAAAGGCAAGGGATAGTTTGTGATCTCAACAGTTGTGCTATTGTACGTCAATCATTTAGTTGTTGTATCGTGGGAGACAAATGACTATTGATCTTGAGCACTAATGAGTGACTGAAAATCTATCTTAAGGAAACTGTGTTGCGATAGGCCTCAACTCATTTCTGATCGATGGAACAATAAAAAAGTATTTCTCCTTCTATATATTTTTATATTATTTTTTAAAGAAGTTTAACTTCTTTTGTTTTATTTTTTCAAGTTCGATTTCATCTCGGAATGTTATTTTTATAACAATCTTAAGACCGAAAATCTATCTTAAGGAAAATCTTTTTTTTGACCAAAAATTTATTTTGGGATTTATGTTGTCATCTTAATGGGTTTGCTTAAATCCCAAAGTGGATAAATCTATTTAATGTAAATTATCATGCAAGTAGCATTGATTAATGATGTCATTTAAGAAAGTTGATTCTATTCAATAACAAGATCAAAAATAAACAAAAATTAATTTTCTATTTATTGAAGTTATTACTAATTCCAATTTCGTTTCTTTTGCAAAAATAGAGACAATAAACTCCCCCGGTTTACCTAACTTGGATGCTAAAATGATGGTAACGATTCATAATTCAAATATGAATGTGAGTCAACCAGCAGTGACAGTTAACCACAACGATAAGTAGACAAATTTTTTGGAGAGGATTTCAAGATGTGAAAATAAAAGATGTTTTTCTATCTGACCGCAATGAACCTTTCTAAGTTCTTGAAGGAAGATCCTCCTATTTTTAAAGAGGGAGAATGTAACACCTCGAAAACTGGGTTAGTAGATTCAGGTATTTTCGTTTGGATTAGAATGCTTATAAGATTAATTTAAATCATTTGAGTCAAAAATAAAGGGGATTGGGCTTGTAAGAACGCCCAATAGTTGATAAAAATGGCATTTTTTATTTGGATTTGGAAGAGCAATGACTAAAGGGGAAATTAGACCATTGTTTAAAAACAATGTTGATTTTCATTTAACTTCGATGATGTAAACGGGGAAGAAAAAGCTAAAAAGTCTTCTCTCATTTTCCTCACCATTTGTCTTTTTCTCTTCTCAATCTTCTTCATCTTTCCTTCTTGTAAGCTTCAAAGGTGGAAATTTTAGTGTCTTGTAAAATTAATTTATAAGTTTGAAGGTAAGAAAAGAAACCACATTCCTTAGAGCTTCAATTCAAGCTCACTATTACAACCTTTGGTTATGGTGGCTTTAGAGGGTTTTAAGGTTTTAGGATTCTAAAATGTTTCCAATTCATTTTTAAGGGCTTGGAAACATGTTTCTAACTCCTCTTAAGTTCTGAAACAAGTTTTAATCCATTCTCTTGCTTTGTTTAGTGAGAGAAGTGGGGGATAGCTCCAAGAGAAAGAACAAGGAGAAACTTGTGCTAGGTGACCTTTGTGGACTCTTCCATCAGCTAGAGATAAGGAAACACATAAATAACTTCCCTCTACCACATGTAGGTCATGAAACTATGTTTTGTTCGCTTGTTGTGTTCATGGGTTTTATGGTAGCATTCCTATTTGATGTTTTGTTGTGTTAAAATGGCTCTATATGATGTTAAAAACCCCATATGACTTAACAAACACTGAGTAGACTTAAGAGGGCTTATGAGAAACTCTAGAAAGTCACTTTCGTTCCTAAACATGTATTTTCGAGCAGGGGTATCGGTATCGAAGAATTGTACCGATACTTCCCTTTTTAATAGGGTAAAAACAAGGGAATTGTGAAAGAGGTATCGATACACCTTCAAGGGTATCGATACTCTAGGCCCGATATCGATACTCAAAGGGTATTATCGATACTGGTGACAATTTAAGGATTCTAGTAGCCAATTTTGATATCAATACTCATGAGTGTATTAATACCAAAAGAATAGTATCGATACTCTCTATCGGGGTATCGATACTAGTAAATAAATTGAAATATAGAAGCTAAAATTGGTATCGATAGTCGGGGCAATATCGATACTCTAAGGCCAATATCGATACTGAAAGGACCAATATAGGTATTGACATCTTATTATTGGGCAAAAAACTTTGCTAACTTCGTAAGCTTAAAAAGGGGGATTATGAGGGCATCAAGGTTTCTTAAATAAGACTACAAGTGAGAATATTATTGAAAACTTTTATGAACAACAACATTAAATTATCTGGCATAAAAACTAGCCTTTGTTTGACGCTCAGGAAACAACAAGGACACATTGGTTACTTGAGCGTATGCATGTACTATTCGAATATGTTTGTAGAGATATCCATATTCTCTTCCCTAGTGCTATGACACTTTTGTATCAGTGTTAATGCACTTTTATATTAGTGCCGAGGCACTTTAGTATTAGTGCTAAGGCACTTCCGTGATTTAATGGCAAGCCTATATTATGATTCATATGATGTATCGTTACATATCCTATTGCAATGATCTATACTTAATGCATTTCGTTGCAACATGACTTAACTTGCTAAGCATTCATAGTTAATGGATGCATGTAGTATAGTGGAGTCGTCTATGTAACACTAAACTCGTAGCACAATGTTCGAAATTGTTTCTGTTCGCAAATTAGTAGATGCCAGACTCGAAAGCTTAACGCCAGTTAGTCAGATTCCAGATATCACCAGCTGCAGAGTATATCTTGATTTTCTTTGTGGGCATGTATTTTATAGACACTTTTGTATTCGAGTCATAACTTTGGATTACTATATTTTGATATTTATGTTTGGGAGCTCCCCGCTTTTGTAAACCTAATTATTATTATCTTATTTTGTTTAATGTGATGATTTATGATTTGGAAAATTGGAATGTATTAAGAAATTTTTTGGTTAGCCATGTAATACCCCAAGTTTTGGTTAGTTACTAAAATATAAGTTTTGAAAGTTTAGTGGATAAAGTATAAACTTTGAAAAAGTCAGGGACCAATATTGTAATTTTAAAAAGTTATATATTTAGCCCGTAAATGAATTGTTTGGCCTAAAACAAGATTTTTCGTGGTAATCAAATTTTCAGTACGAGATTTGTGTTAAAAGCTATAAAGCAATAAAGTTCGGTATAAAAATTGGGTAATCGGATCGAACAAAAATATTATGCAAATTTGAAAAATGTGAGATAAGGGTTGGAAATATTATTTTTCATATTTTAGATCAGAGAAATTTAGCAGATATCACTGTAATATTTCAGATTTGGCAGAACAGTGAAAATTTAGTGACTAAAATGCAATTTTTGAAAATTGCATGGCCAAAGTAGAAATTCAAAGCTAAGTTGATTCATTTTTGGCTATTGAATATTTTAATGGAAGATAATGCAATGATAATTGGTAATTATAAAGTTTCATTAATGATAATTTTGGGGTTTCTCATTAATTGAATTTTAAATTCAATTATATTATAAATAAGGCATGTGTTAAGGATTATTAATACTAGAATAATCAACAAATAAACACATTTTCAACCATATTCAATCTTGGGGCCGAATACACCATAGCTAATACATAAAAATTTTATTTTTGATTTTTAAAGCTACATGATTGATTTTTGGACTAAGTTGTGAAATAAAGAATTGATCTTACATCAAAATCTCTATCATTTGGTATAAGAAATTCATGTTAAACATGTTTTGATGTTGAGATTTGGTGATTAGGGTTTATGAAGGGTTTATAGATTTTGAAGATTTAATAGAAGATCATTATGTTAGTGATGTTGTGGATTAATTCTAGAGCATGTGTGATGATTAAAACCATGTAAAGAGCCTTGTAGTAGATTCGACCATGACTAGGGTCTTATGAGATTAGTTGATTTTGATTCAATTTGATGTTATAATAGTTGAAATTGCATGAATTTGCTCATAGGAATTTGAATTCATGCTTGAAAATGAATGAAATCTTACAGTAATGCACTAGGAAAGTTCAAACATATTAAGAAAATTGGGGAGGGATATTGAAAAATTTACGATGGTCTAGAATTGATATTGGAAGTGTTCTATGTGATTTGGAGATCAATTTGGAAGCCTGAAATAGAAGAAGGGCTAATTTTCAAGTTTTGAGAATTGTATAGCATTACAACAAGAATGTG